GAAAAAGAACGACCTCTTCATATACCACAGATTGGAGCTAAACTGTGGTACTTGTGCCAGCAAAAATCATTATAGCTATGAGCGTAGCAAAACTCTGAGCAAGAATGGAATGTCTTAAATGTATTCTTGTTATCTTTACTTCTTGTAATTGATTATAGTAGCAAAGAATGTAAGTGATATTTATCCTTTTGATTTTAGACTTAGTCCAGTTTTGAACTGCTGATCTAGTGTTGAAGGCAGATATTTCCTATCTGTGCATTAGTCGTTCAGATATCTTCCTCGGAGGCAGCTTGTAGCGATCACAGCTGGATTAGATTAATCTTCAGATTTGCAAGTCATGCAATTTGTAATTACCCAAATGAGACCTCTGCCTAGAGGTTAGGTGAAAATAACCTTTGCTTGTATGGTAATGCTTTCTAGTCTTAGCTAATGAGTAGAATTGTACATCGTTGAATTAAAGACACTTTTAGGAAGTATTTATATACTAAATAATGCTCAAAAGATAATAGAAGTAATGTGCTAATTAAAAGGAAAACATCTTTTCTACTCTATTGAGAGACTACTCACAGCATGTAGGTTATGGGCAATGATGATCAAGTACATAACATTATATTACATTTCTAAACTAGTATACTACTGGTCTATTTTTGTATGAGAGATTACATACACCTTAAGGGAGCAGCTGGTATTAGCTGCTGTTCTTTAATGAAAACAGGCTAGTGATTTCTGCAGGTGTGGATGAAGGGACTGGGGATTCAGGCAAGTAAGCTTGGTTTGCATATGAAAAAGCAGAAAACCTAGTGACTGTTTTTTATGTGTATGTGGTGTGTTCTTTGAGAGAAGGAGTTTTTTTTTCCCCCTGTAAGGATCTGATGTTATTTGTCTGTTTTCAGTTCATGTCACCAGCAATGTAGTAGATGCTATGAGAATCTGAAAGAAAACACCGTGAAGTTGTGCATGTGAAAGAATGGATTCTGCCTGCACATTTCAGTCCTGCTTTGCAAGGGGAGTATCAAGAGAATGCAATTATTCCCAAATCTGTGCAAGCCCTAGAGAGGGAGTATGCTTTACAACAGTGTGAGAAGCCATCTATCTGCCTTGACTGCTAGTGCTGGTAGTGCAGTTTAGCTCAGGGACCAGATTTCTGAATACACAGCAGTACAATTTGAATTCCCAGGATACGGCAAACAACAGGTTCTGCTGCTCTCCTTCTTTTGCTTTTCTTCTAGGAGGGCTTGATTTGCCTGATTTCCTCATCACTTAAAGAGCTGTAAGGAAGATAGTTCCTGAAAGAGACACTTAGTCTGAACCCCAGGCCAGGCTTTGTCTGTGTTTACTCACTCCAGCTCATAGGTGCTGTAGTTTCTACTGGCAGTGGCAGCAAGGAAGGGTGCTTTGTTCCTGTGACCTTTCTGTCACTGGGATTCCATAAGGTGTATGCTGTCAGTATGACTGGATATGAAACAAGTTAGATATTTTCTCATTATTTGTGAGACTGTGCTTTATTTGCCAGTTAATAGTAGGTAATAATTCATTACACTATGAATTGTTGGGTAAGTGATTTCTGTGCATCCAGAACGATATTTATCCTCTCTCTGAATTTACAAGAGTGGCCATTAATACCGTAATACGCAGTAATGGATGAGCAAATAAGATAATATTATATTTGTGAAAGTTCATATGTTATTTGAGAGGTGTGGACAGTTTCATTTTAGGGAAACAAGGCATGTAGGAGAACATGATACAGATCAAGAAATCTATAGAACGTAATTTTAGTGTTTCTATCTCCTTTTCATAGGATAATTTAGGTTGGAAAATACCTTTAAGATTCGAGTTCATTTTCCCCAGATTTTACATCAAATTAAAGGCTATAAAGGTATGAGGAAGTATAGCACTCCTAGATACATTTTATATATTTAGATCTAATATATGAAAAATTCTTTGTATGTATATACAAAATCTATGTGTGTATACAGATGTGAAAAAAATCTCCAAAATGCATTCTTATGTGTTTATCGATGGGTATTCAAGGACAATTTATTTTACCATTGCTTGCTGTCTTACAGAACACTCTCAGATAATATTTTGCAGAAGCAAATACTGAAAACTAATAAAACTAATTTAGAGTCTACCAGAGAAGAACATGTTTTCGGTAGAGAGGGAAATCGCTGAAATATTTCATGTCTATCATCAGGATGCTTGAGATTTTCAGTGGTAAGACTGTAAGGAGATTTCTGAGAAGCAGCATAGAAAATCCTTTCCCAGAGGCTTGGAGCCTGATTCTAATTATGTTCTTGAGTTGATCTGATCCACCTCTCAATTTTATTTATTTGGTCAGTTTTCAAATCTTTTTCTCCATGTTTCTGGAAGATGCCAAGTTGCCAGATAATGAAACTCAGTTGGGTGAATGGTTTCTGTGAATACTGTATTTTCCTACCATTTTCCTTTGCCATTTTCCTCAGGCAAATGAAGTGAGACTTTCTCTGAAGATTATCTTTTGCACTCTGTGTTATAGTCTGGTTTTGATGTCAATACAGGATGCTAATCAGAGTGAAATCATTTGGGCTTGTAATGGCTGTTAAAATCCACAGAATATCATTAAAATGTTTTACTGTGTATGTAAAACAGCTTAATTAAGCTAATATAGAGGGCTGGAGCACCTTTCCTATGAAAACAGGGTGAGACAGTTGGGCTTGTTCAATACAGAGAAAAGAAGGTTCCAGGAAGACCTCTTTAGGAAGATTCCAGTGCCTGAAGGGGCCAACACGAAACCTAGAGAGGGGCTTTTGACAGGTGCCTATAGGGACAGGCAAGGGAGAATGGCTTTACAGTGGTAGATTGAGATGAGGCAGAAGCTCTTCCCTGTGAGGGTGCTGAGTCGCTGGCACAGGGTGCCCAGAGAAGCTGTGGCTGCCCCATCCCTGGCAGTGTTCAAGGCCAGGTTGGACGCAGGGGCTTGGAGCAAGCTGCTCTAGTGGAAGGTGTCCCTGCCTGTGGCAGGGGTTGTAAGTGGGTGATCCTTAAGGTCTCTCCAAAACAAACCATTCTAGGATTCCCTGATTAATGTATTTATAATTTGTGTGTATCTGTAGACATCTATGCCACCATCAAAGAAGAAAACCTGAAAAACGTCACTTTCATGATAACTTTGGTAGTTGTAACATGTAATGTTACATGCTAATGTCAGCATGGAATCTACCAGTGTAGGTCAGAATGTGTGGGGTTACTAGGCTTCAGTTCAGTTCATTTTTTAATATACTTTTTATATTGAGTTCATTTTGACCTTTTTTATGAGTCTAGGGTTAGTTTGCCAATATGGCTAAAACAAAACTATAATCATTTGAGCTGCTTTTCTTAAAACGTCTTCTGAAATTGCACATAATTAGAGTTCACCTTTTCTGTAAAAGTAACTTTGTTTCATCTGTCATGCTAGATCTTCTAGAGCTTTTTACTCTTTTTTTGTTTGGTTGGGGTTTTTTTCTTAAAAAAAGGCAAAAGATCTGTAGACTGAGGTGTACGTGAGAAGCTCATTTTTAGGACTGTTCAGTTCATTGCTTTTGACTAAACTACAAGGTTTCTGATTACTAGAATAAATATTAGATTGCAGATTAAGGTATTCCCCTAGCTAGGAGAGTTTGGGTTAATTTGATGTTGAAAGAGAGCTGACTTTTTTAATATCAGCCTTTGTATATTCTTTTAAACATTACCACTACACACTTCATTTCTTTAGAAGCATTCCATCTGTGATACTTATGTACCTAATGTTTTTGGCCACTCTCTTAATACCATATGATCTTTCCTGCCTGAAGTTGTAATACTTAAAAATACACAAAACAACCAGTTAACATATTTATTAATTGATGACACTTAGGTGTGTTATTTATTTAGTGTATGAATTTCCTCTGCATCATTCTGATAGATATATAGACAGAGGAAGGGGAGAAAGTCTAAACTGCTTTTGGACAAAATAAAACTACTGTTTAAGAAACATAGACCACAAATCTAGTTTCCCCGTGAATTAAGAAAATAAATAATTGGCAGTTATACTGCGAGCAACTTCAGCCTGGTTTTGTTCTTCATTTTTAGCCCAATGTAATGAAGATAAATCCACTTTGCTTTTCAAAACCTTCGAAAGCCTTAGAGACCAGTAAAATTTCCGTGTATTTTTTTTACCATCCTGTTCATTACTGTGGGAAGCAAATACATAAGCCAAAATCAGCCGTCAAGTCTGCACTTTCTGAGAACCCAGGGGGCCTCCATGTGCTTTAAAAATGCATGAGACTTTTTCCACTGAGTCGTTATTAACTGCTATGGGTCACATGGTTTAACATTGTTCCTCAAAGTTCTGCCTTCAAGCCAAATGACCTCCTGATTTCGGTATCGATGCACACTTTCTTCTGGAATATGGGGAAAAAAGGTAAAAAGCAATGACAGTGATGACAAGGTCTATCTGATTTTGAGAGCAGATATTAAACTACCAATCTCACCAAACATGAAAGTGCAAAACTGGTAAATTCTGTTTGCCCAAATAAGTATTTATGGTTTATGAAAAAGGAAACTATATGAATATTAGAGTTAAAAATCCTATCTCTATAAAAGACCTCTATAGGAGAAAATCAGCTTTGTTAGAAAAAATTCTTTTTCAGTAATCAAATGCTCCAAAGTTCATGCTCTGGTCCTACAAATATAGGTACATCGTAAAGCAGGTCAAGTCATTAGCACTTGTCACCAGTTTCATGGTAATTGCATACCTAAGTGATTAATTTTGAGGGTCCAAAATAATAATCTAAAATTTGGATATCTTTTGTATCTTTGTGTATTTCATCCATTTTAACCATCTTTTAAATCCGTGCACCAAAGATCTCTGTAATTCATTACAAAGGCTTGGCGTACAGCATAATTAAGAGAAATTAAAAAGGCCTGTTACTTTCAAACTTAAAATAAATCCCTTAGCTTTTAAATTATTTCATTTAAGTTGGCATTTTTTCTTGCTCTTCTAGGAACAAACTTCACCCTTGCAGAACTAGGAATCTGTGAACCCTCTCCCCATCGAAGCGGCTACTGCTCAGACATAGGAATACTCCATCAAGGCTATTCCTTGAGCACAGGCTCTGATGCTGACTCAGACACAGAGGGAGGAATGTCTCCAGAGCATGCCATCAGGCTGTGGGGAAGAGGGATCAAATCCAGGCGAAGTTCCGGTCTGTCAAGTCGTGAAAACTCAGCTCTCACACTTACCGACTCTGATAATGAAAATAAGTCGGATGAGGAGAACGGTAGGCCTTTTCCTTCAATATATACTTAATGCACATGTATGAGAATGTGATAATATTTAATAATGTATGAGGATTCTTTTAAAGGTCAATTGTTCCCTTTTTTTCTGAGTTTGACTAAAGCTGCTTTTTAATGTTGGAGGTTTTTTAGCATTGATATCAGGAAACTCTATTACCTCTATATCATATAATATACATTGTGGTTTATCTTGCACTTTACTTTCTATGCAGTAATCTTTCACAGATGTATGTGCTCAGAGTACACTAAGTCAAACTTAACAATGAGAAGCAGAAAGAATTTATTAAGAGAAATAGTTTCACATGTGATTTTTATACACAGCTTGAAGTAATTACAATACTATTAATCTACAATATGCCAGTAGCTGTGACAGTGGTGCTAATTTTGTGTGGTTTTTCATCTGCTGAATTTTTTAAAAAAGTAAAATTAACTTGCTGTTTGATTATAGGTAAGTATTGTGGGGCATTTAGAAAGCAAATCTCTGCATCAGACTGAGGCAAAGCACTTCTGTTTCATATAGTTTAATAAGTTCATAGAAATGAAACTTTAGACAGTGCAGGTATCACTTGTGTCAGAACACCTAGGCATCAGGTGGCTCTCCAAGTGGACTGCATGAAGCCAGCTGTCCTTTCAAATGTATGTAACCCACAGCCATGGTGTTCAAATATCTCAGCTAAAAATTTTTACCAGGGAATTTTCTGTGCTCACATATTTTTTAATTAAACTAAACAGGAAAAAAGGTAAAAATGGATTTGCAGGAATTGCACCTCCATCCTATGGGGTGATGAAGATGCCAGCTCGGCTTAGTTAAAATATGAAGTGAAGGGTTTGATACGTGACATTCTGAGAGGATGAAGAGGAATCTCCCTGATGTTATAGCCTCAGAGGAACTGTTCAAGCAGCTGATACAAGCTAATGAAAGCAGCCCTCTCTACGCATATTACTTGTGATAAAATGGAATTTGTTACATGTTGGCTGTCTCTCAGAAGAGGAATTTTTTTAGACGTTTATTTTAGGCTCCTCCCTGCACTTACTGATAGTTGTCTTGGTTTCAACAAAAGCTGTGAGCTGGGCACTAGAAACACAAGCAACTGCTTGTCAAAGCAAGCAAGGCCAAACTGAAGTACAGATTTTACATTGGTAGAAAAAAGTTTAGAAAAATACAATTGATTTTGTTTGTTACAGCAGTCATTATTTGTTGATTTAAATTGAATCTTTAAGTAGTATCTCCCCTCAGCAGACACAGCAGGATATTTTTCTTCATCAAAACCAAAGAGGAAATATTACTAATAATGTTTTGTACAAGGAAGACAGTATTTTAGAAGGAATCAGTGATTAATTGATTTTTTTTTTTTTAATAAGAATACAATTCACAGATGATACAACAAGTTCCATTGACTTTTTAGTGTAGTTTTGATAAGGTTACTGTGCCTAATTTCAAGTAAAAAAACCTGTCTAAGGAAGTTCTGGCATTATAGAACGAGTGGGATTCATTCCGTAACATGGATTTGCTTCTCTGAAGGTGATTGTAGCAATGTGCTACACTTTTTGTCTGAGAAAATTTCATCTCAGGACCTACTTTCATACATACTGTTGCAGGGATTGATAAAAGAATGAGTCTGCTTGCTTGCATTTAATTTTGCTCCTTGTAATAAATGAATTGTTAAGTAATTGGAAATACAGTGCAGTGAGTCCAGTTTGAATAGGTAATTTTTCTAACAATGATGTTAATAAGAGAAAAAATGACATGATCAAACAGTATGCAAGAAACAAACCAGCATCTGCAATTCATTTTTACTTGGAAAGGATTTTGTGGTAACGGTTTCTGTATGTTTGGTTGGTTAAAAAAAAACATCATGCAAGTAAGAAGCAACTATTACATACACAGAGTTTTAGTTTTACTCTCTCACAAATCCTGGTTAGCTCAAAAATCGATGCTTCTTCACATCACTGATTTTATGAAGTTTGGGGATGCATTATCATATAGATTGACAGTTGCCCCACTGGTTCAGCACCGCAGTGTGGACACTTACAAAACCATCATTAATTTCTCACGCTTGTGCCAGCAGTGGTTTCCTACATAATAAACACTGTGTCCTTCAGAAGCAGATCAATAACCTGCTAGGTATTCATCTTGAAGAAGAAGTAACAAGAATCTATACTTCAAGAGAAATTCACTCTCTGATACGGTTTCAGGTTTGCAGGATACTACATAAAACAAGACATTACTTGGCATAAGATGTTATCCATTTCTGCCCAGCAATATTAGAGGGAACTCATGATGCACAGACTACTGAATTTATTTAAAGTACTGTTAAAGTTTTTTTCCCTGATACAGTTACAAAACAGTAGTTCAACTCCAAAAGGTGATTATTTTTTTTAATATTGAGGTGCTATCACTATTTATATCACTGTAATAAAACCAAACCCAAACCTCTCGCTTTTCTTGTAATACTAAATGTATTTTGTCACTCTTAGTGCATCTCTAAGTAGCACAGAGGAGGCTTAATTTCTAAAAATTGCTCTAACAATGTGATTTGGTTCCCTTTCAGATCCATTCTCAAAGCTCATGACCATTTTCTCACTTCTAGATTTAGTGTGATTTTATTTTATCATAAATTAGAATTCTGTGAACCTTGAAATATTATCAGGTCTGAAATAGATAAATTCAGATAACGGAAACTCATTTAAATTCAATGTTTTCCTTGGTATATGAAAATTCTTCCTAACAAAACACCTTCTTGGTGGTACAGTTTGAAAAGCAGCGCTTTTATTTTCACAATTCTGATTAAGCTCTAAATTTTTAGAGAATGAGAATGAGAAACACCTCACAGTTTTCACTACTGCCTCATTCTGGCCATCTCTTCTTTAGACATTGCAACGTGAATATGTTACAGCAACTCTGTCATCAAATTGTTATTCAACGTGATGTATTGAGTTGTGAGATTTAAGTAAATAAATCTTTTCAGGATACATACAAATGTAAAAAGTCAATTAGAAATACAGCTCTTCTGCGATGTCATCTGCCAGCTTTGTAGAGGGAATTACTTACAGGCACCCACAAGTACACAGTATAGGGGATAGACAGGAGTTTCTGAATGCTTTTTTTGTTTCCTTCTGTTAAATCCTGTAACTGTTTATTCCAAAACATCATGGAATACTTTTCAAAAGTAATGTTTATCATCAGTTGACATGTGTTCCTTCCTAAGCTTCCAGTATTCCTATTTCCAGAGTAAAGCTTAGGTGCTGATTCTCTTTAGGTAGTGACCTTCGACCAAGTGCTCTTCCAGGGTTATTTTTCTCTTCTTTTAAAGGAGAGCAGCTGTTCCTTTTTTTCTTTTTTTTTTTTCAAGTTAAGTTCAAAATTACACTATTCTCACAAATTTAGAGACAAGGAAGTCGTGTGGGACAGTGTCTAACACTTTGCACAAGTCCAGGTAGATGACATTAACTGCTCTACCCCTGTCCATCAGTTCTGTAGCCCCATCAGAGAAGGCCACCAAATTGGTCAGGCAGGATTTCCCCTTAGTGAAGCCATGCTGGCTGTCACCAAGCACCTTGTTGATTTTCATGTGCCTTAGCATGCCTTCCAGGAGAATCTGCTCCAAGATGTTGCCAGGCACAGAGGTGAGAGTGACTGCTCTGTAGTCCCCAGGTCATCCATTTTCCCCTTCTTGAAAATGGGGGTTATATTTCCCTTTTTCCAGTCATTGGGAACTTCACCTGACTGCCATGATTTCTCAAATATGATGGCCAGTGGCTTCGCAACTTCATTTGCCAGCTGCTTCAGGACCCATGGATGGATTTCATCAGGTCTGAACTTGTGCACATTCAGGTTCTTAAGATGGTCTTGAACCAGATCCTCTCCTATAGTGGGCCCAAGGTCTTCATTCTCACAGTCCCTGCATCTGCCTTCCAAGACTTGGGTGGTGTGGTCAGAGCATTGCCAGTGAAGACCGAGGCAAAGAAGTCATTGAGAACCTCAGCCTTCTCCAAATCCAGGGTATCCAGTTCTCCAATTTCCTTCAGGAGAGGACCCACATTATCCCTAGTCTGTCTTTTGTTTGCAACATACTTATAAAAGCCCTTCCTTTTACCCTTGTCATCCCTTTGCACACTCAATTCTAAGTGGGCCTTAGCTTTCCTGACTTGATCCCTAGTTTCCCAATGTCCCTGTATTTTGCCTAGGCTGCCAGTCTTCCCTACCAGCTTCTATAAGCTTCTTTTTTCTAAGAAGTTTCCTCAGGAGCTCCTTATCCATCCCAGGAGGTCTCCTGGCCCTCCTGCTGCACTTCCTTCTAGCTGGGACGCAACACTCCTGAGCTTGCAGCAGGTGATCCTTGAATATCAACCAACAGTCTTGGGCCCCTCTGCCCTCTAGGGCTGTATCCCATGGAACCTTCCGAAGCAGGTTCCTGAAGAGGCCAAAGTCTGCTCTCTTGCAGTCCAGGGCAGTGAGCTTGCTTCACGCTCTCCTCAGTGTCCTGAGGATCTCGAACTCAACCATCTCATGATCGCTACAACCAAGGCTGCCCTGGAGCGTCACATTTCCAATGAGCCCTTCCCTGTTGGTGAACACGAGGGCAAGCATGGCACCTCTCCTTGTGGGCTCCTCTATTACTTGCAGAAGGAAGTTGTCCTCTACACAGTCAAGGAACCTCCCAGATTGCTTTTGCTGGGCCGTACTGTCCCTCCAACAGATATCAGGGTGGTTGAAGCCCATGAGGACAAGGGCCTGCAAGCGTGAGGCTGCTTCTGTCTACCTGTAGTGAACTTCATTCAGAGACCTCCTGACTGGGAAGTCTGTAGCAGACCCCCACAGTAATGTCCTTCATCGCAGTTCTCCTTCCTTTGACCCTGACCCTCAAGCTCTCTGTTGGCTCATCACCCATCCCCAGGCAGAGTTCCAGGCTCTCCAGCCTATCACTGACATAAATAGCTATGCCCCTTTCCTGTCTGCCCAGCCTGTCTTTCCAAAAGAGCC